CAGTCGTGACGTCTCTTTCTGACCTTTCTGAAAATAGCAAGAGTGCGCGTGCATAGCTTTGACAGGCGCTGAAGATGCGCGAGAGCAGATATTCCGAAGGCTCCTAGTGTGACGTCACGCCCCGGGAAGGAGGGGCTTCGGCGGTACTTTAAAAATTAATTTCTGAAGCCTCCGTGCACCAAATTGAAAAATAATCTTGATATTCCTCATCCTGGAGGTAGAATGAAGGCCATTGAAATGTTTTTTCTCAAAAAGAGAACCGCTTCAGTTTCCCTTTAAGTGAACCGGAAAGGGCATGCATCTATTGTCCCACAGAGCGGGAAATCGCTCCACGAGCGCAATGAAGTAAAAAGTTGCATCGTTGCACCATGCCGCCATCGTCGCACAACAAAAGGTTTGTCGTCTTCGTCTTCAACAGTTGGCGCCAAAAGAACACGACTTTGGATTTGGATTCCAATCCAAACAAAAGTCAGCTTGTTGCCAGACTTAGCACTTCAATTATACTAAAAACGCCGCGGTCCGCCGCCAAGGTCCGGGCGAGAAAACTGGCTTGGCATTTCTCACAAGCGCGGGCCGCGGACCGCCGGCGGACCTCGAAAAGCGGTGACGTAAGATCACGTGATGCGCGGCCCGCGGACCAAAACAGCAATTTGGTCCGTCGTGTGGATACACCTTTACCTGGAGGGCCCCTGAGAACTAATGCAAATGCGCCGGGGTGCGAGGGTGCGGGTCCTCCTGAGATGTGTTCGACCCTCGCGCGGCGCGTCTGGGATTTCCGCGTTTCGCCGGTAGCGCGCTGTATAAGCGCCGTTACTCGGGGTGCTTTTGTGTCGCCGTGCTGTCGCCCGGTCGACACCTGCGGCTTGCGCTCGGCACGAGAAGGTTGATGCTAGGAGCAGCAGCAAGCAGCTTGCGCACGCGCCAGCGGATCACGACCATGGTGTCTTCTCCTCCTGGCGTGCGCTTACAGCGCGCCACCGGCGAAACGCGGAAGTCCCAGACGCGCCACGCGAGGGTCGAGCACATCTTAGGAGGACCCGCACCTTCGCACCCCGGTGCATTTTCATTAGTTCTCAGGGGCTTTCCAGATGAAGCAGCCTGTGTTGATGGCCACGCGTTCCTGCGTTCGGGTTTAATTTTTTGCTGACTGTACGTCGCAACAATTATTCGTGTCGGCAGTTTAAGAAGCGACTCCATTCCATTTTTACGATTTTTGGGTTATGATATGTTTAGTCGAAGTCGGCGAGCCTGAATCACGAGGTATAATTTGTTTTTCGCTAGTGTGTACTGTTTTGCCGATATCGCGTATCCAAGTTTCGTCCCGGCGGTACGGCGAAACCGAAACTACCGGCTCGAGCAGCTTGGCAACACTGCTATTCAGCTGCGCGTCGACGGCATGACGTAGATCTCGTCCCGCGCTGCCGCGCTGCTCCTGAGCCGACGCACCGGCCCGGCCAGCTCAGTCGCACGTGGAGTTTCAAAACAATGTAAATTGCACATTTTCTTTTAATGCAAAAGCATTAACTGTCCCATGGAGTGAGACGACGTCATCAGTTTGATGCGCGCCAAACAACAGCTTAAATTCTTTCTCAAAGTGAAGCCAGCTCCCAGCTATGAAACCACGCAAAAAGCCTAGACAACGGCACCCAGTTTCCCCGGTCCCAAAGCGGAGTAAAGCTGATGGATTTCGGCTTCAGTCCCATTGGCGTGTCGACGAAGCTCCCATTGGCCGCTTCGTGTCATCTTCAACGACCGCCACCCCATGGCGCTGCGTGTCGGCGAGGCAGCGGCTCCACGCCCAAGGAAAGCGCGCCCGCTCGACCGTTGACGCAAGGACGAAGCAGACGACAGAAAGTAGCGGTAGAGCGGCGTGCATGCTTTCGCGGTCACAACTCATAAGAAGTGCTGAGGTGTACATCGAGCTTTTTTTTACCACTGCTCTTTGTAAGTATGCACCTAATGTAGTAACTGTGAGTGTGTTTTTATAAATTCGCCGGCCGAAAAGCGAATCCGACTACTATAAATAATATGACGTGGTCAGTGCCGGCGCAGCGTTACCGTATTTGTTTCTTGCTCGCAGACCAAGTGAAAAATAATTAATGGGAGAGAGATGGACAGATGGTATCCACAAGCTGTCTAACTTGTTAAAGCTAAGGTGCCTTTATGTGTACACTAGTTAGAGCTGCTACGACCCGCTGCGACCGGCCGCTCGAGCTGGAGCAGCCGACGGACGATACGCGAACAGCGACGGCACCGCATCGTTTTACAAAGACGCGTGTTTCAGGAGAAACCCGCAGCAGCTGCAGAACCCGCTGTGTAGCTGTCTGGCGTAAAGTACAGGGAGCAGAACTTCGCGTTGGAGATCGGGGTCGACGGTCTTCCGAAGTGTATATAGCGAACGGCACCGACCCACACCTTATGCCTCTTCCGGTCTCTTAGGAACTGGTGGAACCGCAGCTCCGGGTTGCGCACTGGACCCACTGCACTACAAGTCGTGCTCGGCATTGCCAAACGCGAGTCCGGGGAGTCTTTCCGGCTCCACGACACGCGCGTGAGCGAGCAGCACCGCTTCGCTCTCTGCCGCGTGGTCGCGGAAGCTATGCTTGAAATAAATGAACTGCAAGACCCAAATAAAAATAGGAGAACACAGGATAACGCCGTAAGCATCTCTTGCCGTTAGCGGAATCGCAGAATTCCACGAGAAAGAAAGCGCCCGCAGCGTCCGTACAAGAGCGTAGGACGAAACCTACGTTTTTTCCCAGTATTGCTTCACTGGCTCACCCGGTGGCAGCGTTGCTCAACCACTGTCGGGCCGCTAACCCAGCTGGTAGAAATTTTTTAATGATGGTTTCCATCGGGAATGCGGCGTCGGTTTGGCGGGATATTTTGGATATGACCGTATTTTGACTCCCTAAAGCGATATCAGCCATTTCTAAAAGGTCGACTTTTTAAATGGAGTTGCCCTTAAAGACTTTATAAAGTGATAAAAAAAAAAACAGATCAACATATATGTTTTTACGCGTGGCGCGTAAATTGTCAGAGCAAAAAACTGCCTCATAAAGAACAAAAATTAGTTTAAAGTAATTTAAGAAACCAATATTAAAGAAATGCCAGTTTGCCAAAATGCGAACGGCATGTGGTCAACGAAGTCCAGAGAAGTCATTCAGCTATCGAGTGTGCTCGAAGTTTCTTCAAGCACACTTGTACTTCGAATATGATAACGTCGTGCGAGATCAACAGCATCGATTTGAAGCTTCAGTCCTGGACAGCGGTACTCTGCCATTGCGATCATCTGTATTTGACATGGCGGGTGAAAAAAACGCCACTCGGCCGCGAGGCACCGACTGGTTTCACACTTTGTGTAAAATATACTTTTACGTTCGAGCGTAGTTCATCACACTTTGGTCCCATTCTGAACTTCCCCTTCACTATAGTGTGGTCCTGGGAAAGACAACCTAGCCCAAACATGTGGCATTGACTGTACGAACCTCCTGGTCTGTAGTTTACGATCAAATTTATCTTTCCATTACCCCTCTTTTTATTCCTCCCTGTCCGTACGTGCGAGTCTTTTTCTCGCTATTGGAGGAGAATATTTACGCGCGGGCATTTCCCCTTTGCATGCCTAGTCGTTACAACCACCAGACATGTCGTATCTCTGCAATGCTGTTATTTCAGCGTTACGACATCTTATAACTAGGGTTCCGTTTTAACCGGATTACTTTTTCCTGCAAATTCGGGAGTGCTTCCTTGGCGTTTATTTGTTCCACCACATATTCGGTGTCAATCGGGGTCAATTTCTTGCGTCGAACAGAAAAGCGGCTTTTAGGGGGGGGGGGGGGGAGGTCTTATATGGGAGACAGTGGGACGCCGGCGTTGGGGTTACCCTGGCTACAGGGAGCGTGCGCGCGACTTAAATACTTTCAACCTGGTACTGATAGGAGGAGGAAGCGAGATCGGGGGCGTGCTTTGCTGACTGTTCAAAGGTTGCTGTGTTGCTGATCAACAAATAAAGTTGGAGATAAAAATTGCAATGCCTTAAAGCTTTCTTTTTTTTAATTTTAAGAATTTGTTAAAATCGGGAAGGACCTCGAATTAGGTCAAAATTCGGCTCGGTTGGTTTATTTTAAGGGTTTATATCAGTATTTACAGAAAATTAAAAAAAAAAACGTAATAGCAGATGTTTCGATCTTTTTTTTTTTTTTTCAGAACTGACGTTAGAAAATTAATTTATGAAGTTTTAAAAGGATCTTAACGTTCAAAACATTCCAGCGTTATTTTTTTTCCCCTGAAATAAACACTTGACTACTTGCCATATTTTCTTTTTTTTTTTTTCTTTCGCGGGACCAAATTTTATAATTCAGCAAATTTTCGCAATGCGAAGTTCGACAATTTTCTAACTTTCATACTTACCACCGTAAAAAGATTCCACGATTCTTTGAATTTTCGAACTTGCGTAGGTCAAATATTCGACGAATAAAAGATTTGACCGAGTTCTAACCAACTTGATCCCCCATGGTTTACACGAAGTATTGAATTTGTGGGGCGGAGTGGAAATCGCATGGAATCTTCGCTTAGCCGAATCCGAGGCGCTACCACCAACGACTCGCTTTGGGGTAACCTGGGGGCCTCTCACACAAATAGATAAAACTAACATAGGTCATCTATTTATTTATTTATTGATTTTATTGATTTTGGGAAGTTATCGAATTAAAAAAAAAAGTTTGTCCTTACTGTTTATTCTAACTGAACGTCTCTGCTGCCAACACTCACAAAGTAAGGCCAGAAGCAGACACGTTCATTGCCTTCCGCCGGGAAGAAAACCTGTTCCCTGTTCCTCCTCTCTACTCCCATCGCAGTCTTCTCTCTTCCTCTCCCCACAGGAGCGGGTCTCTGGGCTACTCTTCGAGGAAAGGAGGAGGGTCTTTCTTTTCCCCAATGGAAAGGAGGAATCGAGGCAGCCGTTCGCGCTTTCCACTTTTGCCCACATTCTGCTTTCGTACTTCCTCTTTACTTTTTACCTTGTCCCAACTTGGCTGCCCTCGCAGCTTACGAGAGGGATGCGCTAAGAGGATTATCTTCTTTGCAGAAAATCCAGGTCGTACGTCGGCCTTTACTGGCGTTTGGCGGTGTGAAATGAATGCTGCGGAGTCTTGCTTTAGCACTCGCTCGTACCCTTTTGATACGAAAAGGTGGGGAAAGGATAGAGATATCCAAACTGGGTGTGCGTGTACCTACCCCGATTTCCCCGTCGATCCCGTTGGGGTCGAGGTCATTCTCCGTCAGCAGCTTGGTCCGGTTGTACCTGGGAGAAAGAGAAGGAACGACACCGGACCAATAAGGACTACAAGTTCGCTTGGAGCACTAAAACAGCCTGGGTTATTGTTTTCCTAAAATGAAGAAGCTTCAATTTTTTTTCCACCGGGCGACCAATAATTGAAAAGAAAAGAAACTTTAATATCCGCCCTCTCCCCCCCCCCCTCCCTCCCCCTTCACTTTTAAAAGCTGAAACTAGTTTTCTGGGGGCTTTTTTTTTTTGTATGCATGTATGCTTTGCAAAAGTAAACAGAAGTCCGCCATTTTTTTCGTGCGTTTTGATGAAATGCTTGTGCTATATGTAACCGATATATATGAAATAATGCTGATGGAGTTGCACATAAAGTCTCTTGCTATAGTTCACGCTTCGATTTAGCCGCACGGCTTGAGCTGCGACACGCCAACGGGCAAATTCACCGTTCAATGCAACAATAGGGACTCCTCACAGATCGTTTTCCTCGACTCCGACAAAAACTCTTCCCAACCCACTATAAAATCCGAAACTCTGCAGATTGTGTTAGGGGCGCGCATGTGCAACAGCGATGCCTTCGTTGCGGAGAGCGTAATGGAGGGGAAAAACAAATCTACAAACACTTTCTAATGAAAGCAGGCGCGATTAAAGGGCTGGGCTGTGCCGTAGCTTTCGCGTCTTCCCGAGCCCATGCAGTAGACAACTTATGTGTAAATGATTGACGCTTCACTACTTTCCACGGCGCCATGACTAACTAATCATAATAATAATAAGAATAACTACAGTCTCTAAATAGGCAACGCTTAAGACATCGACACTTCGTTCTCCGATTGTCTGGTGGGCGCTGCCATGTTGTTGCCTAGCCCAGAGTAGGGCCACAGTTAACGATTCTGAAGTACAACTTTCCGAGTTTTAAACAGGGTGTCAGGAAGCTCAGACGATATCGTTTTCCGTTGTTGTGGACTGTTTGAACTTTTCCGGAAGACGGAACAGTGTTTCCTGCGATTTCAGATGAAGTTTGGAGTGACTGGCAACAATAATCTTAAGCAACAAGACGACTGATGTGTGGTCACTCCGAAGCTTAGTTTATGTAGTGGCTCTATTGTAATATAACCAGTGCTGCATGCGCACATCCAACCGGCTTCATCAAGGCGGTGCAGTTCTGCGGGCTCTGGAAGCGTCGACACTTAGCGCAGCTTAGAAGAAACAGCGCACTCACTCTCCTATCGAGCGTTTCAAAGAGAAAGAGAGGGTAGTGTGTGAGGGGGGGGGGGGGGGGAGGGAGTCTGGTGACTTTGTTTACCGGAAAATGTTGGAGGCTGTACGGAAATCCCCACAAAGGTTTTGGTGCACTCGTCACTGATCAAATTTCTTTTTTTCTGACATTGCACTAAACTCTTTATCTTTCTAACCTTATCTCCGAAGCATTGGCGCCACTGAGTATTACGCACTGCACTTAACAGAAAACTAAAGCAATTCTGTATATGAAAAAAAAAAACACTTATATCGTTTTAATCTTGCCTCCAGGATCTCGAATATTACAATTTTATTTCGGATTGATGCACCAAGCAAGTATTGTACATAGTTTTTATGATTTTCACGCCTTCCGCAAGCCTTACCCGAGCAGTCAAAAACGATGCACGCGTTCCCTCACAAGCGGCACGGGCAAGGCAGCTGAAACCTCTGGATATGACGTCATACCAAGTGGTTGATATTTCCGTTTTTCTCGCGTATATTGATAAGTTCGTGTCGAAGACTTCAGATATAGAAATTCACAAGACAAAAATACACTAGGATTTACCTCTACTTGTTTTTTTTCTCATGAGCCTCTTTAGCTTCTTTGAAAGTGCTATGCGGACAGCAAGTCGTCTGCTTCCTGCGCATGGGTTGCGGTGACGTCAGAACGACGCCGAGCTCTGATTGGCTTTCATTGAAAGGATGGTGGGTAGACCTCCATGGCTAGATGCTTGGAGCTCTACCCACTATTTTGTTTACTCAGCCAATAAGAACTCGGCGTTCTGACATCGTCGCAACACCTGTGCAAGAAGTAGATGAACTTGCGCACCGTATTGGAAGATAGTGACTGCATTTTCAGGGGTGAAAAACCGCTATACGCGCAGTTTTTTTTTTTTTTTTTTTTTTTTTTTTACCATCGGGAAGAGGAGGAAATCGCATGGAGGGAGGACTGGATTGTAGAGCGAGTGGGTGATCAATTCAGCTGGAGTGTCTTGGTACAAGTTGAATTTAATGCTGCTAGATTGGGCTGATGCATTCGCTGTGGTGCAGCAGGATTTCCCTCAAGCCAGCTATTGATTGCATCACCTAGTTTTCTCGAGGACTGCGGGGCAGGCAAAGTGTACATTGTGCACCGTTTTGATGTCACTCTGTTTTGGTTTTCGATAGCAACCGCGGCCACGCGTCTATTGGATTAAATAAATGTTGCCACAATTTTCTTTACGACATTCCTTGACCTCATGAGCTTCAGATTTGTAATCTACACAAGGACGACCAAAACGGATAACTGACACTTTGTTTCAAAATTATACGGTAGGTCCAACAGTTGTCCAGCACCTCAGCTACACTTCTAGAGTTGCAACTTTCAAATTCGTACGGCGTCTGTTAATACCATTCTACGAGTGCCTGCTTTTGAGCATTTGTTAAATTGTGTGGCACCCATCAAGATTAAGAGCTTATCAGACGAAGGTGTTTGTGAATAATTATCAAAATACCTGGCGAAGTAATCTCTAGGGCCATAATGATAGCACCGTAACTCAACCGAGGGCCCTCTTCAAGGAGACTCTCCACAGCAGCCACGTTTTCTTCAGTCACGGCCATCGAGCGTCAACCAGTGCGCTCGCCGTCTTTCAGAGAAGTTCGGCCACGTTTATATACACCAAACACACAAACAGCCATTGCATGCGACAGGGAAATGCCCCTAAAATTATGTGACAGCCGTTCAGTGACTCTGACTTATTTAAAGGGAAGCTGTTCTTTATATGCGAGAAACCAATTAAATCGTCTCCACTGAGTCTCCAGAATCAGAGATATCGAAAGTATATATCAGATTGATGCGTCAAGTAGCCACAAAGGCACTTTCAACATAGCACCGAAGCCCCTCCCTCCCGGCGCGTTCGGAGGGAAAAGGGAGTCGCGACGTATTATACAGAGATCTCAACATCTTCGCGCGTTCCGCAAACCTTACCCGAGCAGTCAAAAAAGCTGCATGTGTTCCCTCGCAAGTGGTAAGCACAAGGCAGTTGAAACCTCTGGTATGACGTCACACTCAGCGGATGGCCTTTCGTTTGTTTGTTTGTTTGTTTTCCGTGTCTATTGGTACTTTTGGGTCAAATGCTCGGGATATTCACATACACAGGACAAAAATAGGCTAGAATTCACCTTTAATTTCAAGAACCTCTTCAGCTTTCCTTTAAATTATCTTTGAAATCATAAAGCATCATAGCTTGAAAATACGGTCTGTCGACGTTCATGGCCAAAGATAAAAGAAAGCGTAGTGTCCGTAATCTGCCCAAATCCGCGGCTGACACTAGGTGGCGTTGTGGTAACGGTTTGAGGGTGGAGGGCATAGATTGAAGAAAGGGAGCTGTTTAAACCACGGGTGGTGTTTGGAATTGGATGCTGACCGAGCGCTTCCTGCAATGATTAATCGCGAGAGCGAGAGTGCGCTGCGCTGTCGGGTGGCGAGGAGGAAAGCGGTCGGAAAGGCTGAGAAGTTTGCAGACGGTCAACGCTTTGGTCACCATCCTCGCAGCTCGTATTCCAAACGCGGTCCCCAAACCACGTTACCCCTATCCCAGCAGTTGGAAACTCTCCGAAATATAAGCTCTCGACTTGAGGACTGATTTTGCTAGGAGAATACGATGCTTCACCGCACGACGGGGTCTGAGTTTTTTTCTGTTTTTTTTTCCTCTTTGTCACATTTCGAAACATTTGTTTGGCCCACGAATGAGCCATCGATATGCTTTACGTCTCGCATTGGACAAAAGTGGCGCAAGACGCCGACTATTCGAGGACTTGAGCAGGATTTATTCATTAGCTGCTCGCACTCTCGTTTCGTTCCCGGCCGAGTGCTGCGTCGTCGCTGGTTCTCAGACTTTTGGACTTCTTTGTATTCAGTGTGTCGTACCTTTACATAACTCTTCACTTCGCTGCTACCGGAAACATATCACATCCCAAACACGTAACCACAAAAAAGAAGAAAAAAAGAAAGAACTTTCGCGTTGCAGAACTTAGGGATCCTCAACTCAATCCCCACTCTTGCCACTTTCGACCTATAAGCCGTGGTTACACTGCTCATACCATCATAGAAAAGACAGTCTGCAAACACAAATCAGCGCAATATCCGTGGTTTGAATGCCGCGTGCCGTTTTCTCATTAAACGTATTGCCATGTGGCATTCAAAGCACGGATCTCGCGGTGACTCGCGTTTGAATCTGTATGTAGACTGCCCTTCTGTAAGATGTCCCAAAATAGCAAAACACCCCCCCCCCCCCCCCCCCTTTTCCCGTTGGCCCTCGTCCTTTGGGGGGGCGGGCTCTCTGGCCCTCACACTCGAATAAGTTCGAGACCCCTGGCCTAGGTGTAGAGAGGGTCCATCTCAAACCGTAGGGAGCGTTTGCAGTTTAATGGCGGACGCCTCCTGCGGCGATTGGTCACAAGTGCGCATGCGTGGCGTTGTCGCGTGGCGAGGAGCAAAGCAGGCGGAAAGGCAGACATTTGCAGACGGCCAATGCTTTCGGCTCCTCCTCGCAGCTCCTATTGGAAACTCGGCCAATAAACCACGTGACCCCGATAGAGCGGATGGACGCTCTCTGTAGTAGAGTTTCTCTTGCCGCCCGCGATCTTACGTGCCGCCATCTGTCGGCGGTTGCGCCATACACGGACGCCGTAGGTGGTAATTTCAAGTTCTTCATTTCTAGATTTTTCCTCGGGTATGTTTGATCAGCGAAGTTTACATAACCTCAATGCACGTTCTTCGGCCACCTCTGTACGAAATTTTA